GCAGAAAGGGAGCCATGGGAAAGATTGGAGAGGAAGGAAGAGAAAGGCAGGGACATTCTAAATGTGACTCTTATTCTTCTTTTAGTTGCGAAAGTTCTGGGTTTCTAACAATCAAGCAAGGCAACAGTACACATAATGCAATGTGTGGTTTCCCTACTAAAGATTTGGAGAAAGGTACCATCTCACAATGACTTGTCTTTTTTGAGCCTGTAACTTTTCTCTACAGTTTTTCAGTTGGTGACTTGCTGCATAGTTATCATCCAGAGCTTGCTATCATGAACATTTGCTTTGAAAATGACCGTTGTATTTCTGGCACTATTAATATAGGTAGAATTGTTGACCTGGGCAAGGATTCCACTGTTAAAGCACCATCAGTAATAAAGGTAGAGAAAAGCCCAACAATTATCCTTGAACAGAGCACACTTATTTAGCAAATTATCAGAGTTTTCCATTGAACTGCTCTTGCTGTTTTGCTAGATTTTCTTAGGAAGACAATAGCTTAGTCATCCAGTTCCTTTATGAAATCAGTTGAGTCCACAGCTCCCAGAATTGAAACCTCATGTCTTATCATGAGTCAAATTAGATAGCAATAAGTGGGTACGGGCTTTGCAGGTACTGAGTATCTTGAAGACAGCAAGCTGCACTGCTCCTGCCTTTCCCCCCCACCCTTGTCCCTACAATGAATTGGTGTCTTTCAGATCTGGACCCTTTATTCAGAGAAATTGTTGGTTCTGCTGACACAAATTGAAAAATGATCCTACTTTTATCTCCCACAAGGCAGCCGCAAATGTGAGAATTTGGCTTGCTGCAATGCTGTTTAGAGAAACATTGAAGCCAAGTCCCCCCAAAACGCAAAACCCAAAACCAAGTAGATAGAACAAGTGATAACTGCAAGAGGGAGAGACATTGAGCAATGAAGAGATCAGGCATGTGGGGTTTTTGTACGAATGCTTCCTAGTACAGACAGTGATCTATTGTACCTCTGACTTAGAGCAGCTCCATTTTATTGTTAATACCTGCACTGCTTTTTTTTCCTTGGAAAACTGTTTTCCACTGAAAGAGGAAATTAATCTCTAAATTTCCTTGGAAGAACTGAATTTTCTTAATCTTTAATAATGATATTTAATTGCAGCTCCTGTTACGAATGACTCTCTGTATATCACCATCCTGGCCATCCTTACTGCAGTGGCTGTATTCGTTCTCATCTTGCTGACCTTCTTCTTGCATTTCTGCATATGGTCACTGAAGAAAGAAAAATACCCCACAGCTGACAGTAAGTGCACCTTTGTGGACTTCTATGTACCTTTTCAGTGGCGAACAACGTGCCCATCGATGCAGGGTCAGAATGGAATAAATTAAGTTGAATGAATAGAGTAAATAAGGATTTACTCTGTGATTATGGGTGGGTTACTTAGTTTCACGAAGATGCAGTGCATCACCTGGGTCTTTGTCCTTTCCTCGGAGAGAGGCTGTATTGGGGAAGGTAATGGGCAAGCTAAGAGACATGTGTGAAGACCTCTTGTGTGCGCAGTGCTTTTGCTTACTCTCACTGCAGATCTGGAACCTAACTTCCCTAGGCTGATGGGGGCTCCACAGCTGTCACACCATAGAGAAGAGACTTACAGCTGCCAGTTTCCAGAAGAAGAACATGGAGACAAAACACCAGAAGAAAAGTCTTGCTATTTCCACCCTCAGAGTCTACCATGAAAACAGATATATTGCAACGTGCTATGAGAATGGGGAGCTGAACTCAGCTTTCCAAAAAAAAAAAAAAAAAGAAGGGAGGGGCTGGGTGCGTAAAGCGTCATTATATACATCGCAATAAGGAACGGGTTTGGAGGGAGTTTTGCTTTTTCTTCTCAACAAACCTAGCATTTACAAACAAAAACTGCTCAGTCAGGCTGACATTCAGTTCAGCTGCATTGCATTATTGCAAGTTTCCTGGGTTGTTGGGCAGTTTTTTTTCGTTGATGGTCTTTTAATCTTTCTTTGGGACCAGGGACCCTTCTTATTGTTATTCCCCTTTGCATCTTCCACACGTGTGTCTGTGGTGCTCCCACAGATTGGTACACGCGTAGAAGGCCAGCGTACCACCATCAATCCCTTCAGTGCGACAGGAAATGCAGTAGTACCTATAGGGCACTCTGACAGCTTTCACAGGCTACGGGTATTCCCAAGATGTGTCCTGATGCTCATGTTAAGGGAATGAGGCATTGCGCCTAGCAACCATACCTAGTACTCTTCTCTACGCAGGCAGTGCTTTTCGCTTCTGCCAAATTGCCCTCTTTGTTATGCAGCAAAGGGCCATCACTCTTAATCCATGAGATATGCTCCTCTCCATCCCCACAGGAGGTGTTGGTTAGGCCAGTCTCAGCACGCAGAGATGCCAGTGTGATCCTGCTACGGCCACATCATTTGTGCTTGCAGAGATTTTTCTATGCAAGGTCCGTGATCCCCTCCAGGGAAACAAGAGCAAGAGGGGAGTAACATTTATCTTTCTCTTCTATAACTCAGCAGTCCTTGGTACCTGGAATACTGGATTACAAAAAGGAGACTTCTGAAAGGCTCAAATGAGGATCACGCTGTCTAGAAAAAGGCATTCAGTTTAATACTCTCTTCTCACCTAGTTTATGGAGTAGAAAAAAACAGTGGAAAACAGAGGAAAGCCCAACATTTGTTCTTGATGCATTTTTTCCCCAGCCCAGAAGAAAAAGAACCAGAGCATCTGCTGGTGTATACCAGCATAGCTCCAGTGACTTGATCATCAGCTGAAAGATGTTCCCCTTACTGAAAATTGTACCATGGAGTTGTTTTTTTTGAATGTTAGATCAGCGGTCCTCCAGTTTCATAGAGCTCTAACATGGCTAGAATTATTTGTTTTGCTTGAATGTCAAGGGGGCAGGGTTTCAGCTGGACTTGGTTGTTCTCTGAATTGACACTGATTTCAATTAAGAATCTAGCTTGTGGCTTCAACTAGTTAAAACTCACACATGTCCTTTTTATATATTTTTTGTGTTATGTGACTGCAATAACAAATTCAAAGCTCTGGATGCCTTCAGGTTTGGCCCTCTGGTGGAAGCTGCTTCGAGTAGGCTCTTTCATGACCGAATCAGCTCTGGGCAAAGATGAGTTTTGACTCAGCCTTCACATGGAATGCTTATAACTATCTAACAGTATAGCCATTACATCACCTTCCTCCTCATGATTTCTTACAGATAATGTAAACAGCACAGGGCTTCTAAATTAAATCCTTACAGAATGATGAAATTTCTGTTAATTGCCTGGCTAACCACTCAGGGGGGATTGTTCCAAGTCTGAATGCCATGCTGTTTTAAGTAGGGCTCTGTGAAATGACGATAGCTGCGGAGCAGGAGTTATTGCCTCCTCAGACGTGTTGCAAAAGCACTTGAACAGAGAATCCAAAGAAGTGGGACAGGTTGTTACTACTTTGGTAAGCTAGTCACATAGCCTCGGTGCGCCAAGGCAGGCTTGGTGAGACTGGGTGATGATCTACCTGTTAGACTTTCATTGAGGTGACTCCATGCGTGGACCTCTTTAGGCAGCCCAGTCCAGTGACTGATTTCAAATCGGAGAAGAAGAGACATTTTGCTAGTTAAAATTTATATTATCCATTATGATTATGAGGAAGAATTGACTCTTTAGCATCTTTTTAAGCATTCGTAAACTATCGTCTCTCCTTGATTTCTCTAGACTCTTATCCTGCTTCACAAGCTGTGGTTTCTAGACCTCTTAGCCTCTATCTCTAAGCTCTTTCCAGTTGGTCCTTCTTGAAGCCTTTTCTGGAGGAGGTCTTGGCAAGCTTGAATAAAGCTGAAGGATTAATTTTATGATTCATGGACATGGGTTTCTTGCTGAACATTTCTTCAGTGATTATGAGAAAAGGAGCTATCCTGTCTTTTTTGCTTTTGTGTGTGTGTGTGTGTACATTATAGAGTCTTGCAACTGGGTGAAATAATTGTAAGGGAAAATGAAGTGCCAGGTGTTATCCCTTCACTATAATGTACTCCTCCATAGTCCTAGTTTTAATCTTCTAACTTCTCTGTTACTGTGTTTACTGCAGCTGACATCCGTATACCATATGACTTCATGTAGAGTGAGAGCAGTGATACTTCGCAACCCTAAAAGGATGCTGTGAGACATAATTAGCACTTTCAATGTACTACTGCCTTCTTTGATCCTCTTACTGTTAATCTTTGTGTTGCTGAGAATTTTTCCCGTAGGTATCTCCATGTGAAATTCACATAAAAAGAGAGAGTTTTCCTCCATTGCTTTGGGAAATGTGCAGATTCTTAATTGAGGTGAACTGGAGATTCACTCAAGGAAAGGTGAAAGCATTGGATTGGATGAAACAGGGTAACTTTTTTTAAAGTGTAAGATTGTCTCTGCCTTGTAAGCCGTTTTGCTATAGGATTTAATATTCTCAGAAGTCTAAACACTGGTTAGCAAAGACATTTCTTACAGTTCCTTCTATGTTGGCCATGTTTGTTCTTGGCTCTGTATAGACCCTTCTTTTTTTTAATGTTTTCGACAAGATTTATGATTGTGACCTTTTGTAAAGGTAAAATAAACTTGAAAATTGAATGAAGTGCCTATGTGATCTAATTAAGCAAATTGCAAAGCAAGGGGTTTATTCTTTAGATTGCCCCAGTGTTCTTGAGCACACTTCCCAAGTGACTTCCCCTCTTTTACAGAACTCTGGCTATTTCAGCAGTGTACCCCCAACCAAACTCTTCTGTCATTGAATTTTAGATTGGTGCACTTGCACTTTTTTTCCTTTTTTATGCAAGGAGCTTAATGTTTCCTGGCTGCTGGCTAGACCAGCTTTTCAAACTCACTTTTTTACGCTCTACCAAAGTAGCAGGAAACTGTGGCTGACAATTTTTTTGTGTTCCTGACGACGGCGGCGAAGCAGCAACATTTTGGGAAAAAAAAAATAAAAAAAATTCAACAGAGCTTGCTATTTGAGGAATGGTTGATTGGAGTGTCTTGTGGAAGTCTGTGCCTCTGGCAACATGCAGCAAATCTTGGTGAGGTGTACAAGACTTTCTGGGCTGTGGGTGTTGAATAGCCGCCACTATTGCCAGTTAATATTGAAACATGATGAACAGAGCCATATTATTCATTGGAAATTTGCACAGTGGCCTTTTGGGTTTCTATATGCCTGCCTTGAAGAACATTTCCACTTCCTGCCTACCTAATCACCTGACTTTATGGCTGCTTATTGATGGGAAAAGCAACCAATTTCCTGACTTCTTAAAGCTCCAATTCAGAGGGAAAAACCCAAAGTGTGAATCATTTAAGCCCTGGAGAATTTCAGTAAAAGAGCTGTTCTTTGCATCAAAGGAAATGAAAGCTATTGGCTCAGAACAGTGAGCTTGTAAGAAAACACTATATTTAAGTTTCCATTCAGAAAGAACAATAGCTTTATTTTATCAATGTGCAATTACTGCAATATTTGAATCAGATCTTGGCTGAATTTTCAGCTCAAATCCCACACTTTATGGGGTTTTTCAGGTTCTGATTTGAACTTCAGCTTTTTCTCTGTATATGGACTGTAGGTTGAAAAAGGCTTCTCCCTCAAATCATTTACATCTAATTAAATGTCTGTAACAATATTTTTTTTTGCTTGAATCTCTTTTCAAAGGAGAAAATAAAATATCCCTGAAAAATATCCCAAAGTTTCTAGAGGCTAATCTAGAAGCAACTTTAGAAATACCATGTTTCAGTAATGTTATTGTCTCATATATGTCAAATATGATATATGGTGAAATGTACAAAAAAAAAAAAACAAACAAAAAAAAGTTCCTTGACAGTGCTAACAAAAAGGCAAATATGTAGTCTCCAAAATGACAACATCAAATTATGGCTTAACTGAGGATCTAATATGTCTTACACTATGCGTAGGTGAAGCTTAAAAGGTGTATTTCGTGTTTATGGAAAAAAAAACCCAATTTTTTGTGGGACAGTTGATAGCACTTAGTCCTTGTTTTATTAGGGGTTGTCTAGCACTTATCTTAAACTTGTCTTTGAGTTGTCCTACGAACTGAAGAATCTAATTGTAAAAAAAGTTCTTGAGCTGCCAGCGATAAGTAAAGACGTGTTGCCATTTAGTGGGAGTCTTTCCTAGATATTTATTTCATCATATCGGTCTGGGGCATGTTTGCCTTCACCAGCAACCTTAATGCTGTCCCTGACTTCACACGCTGGAGTCCATCCCGGAGGTAAGGATGTGGATCACCCCGTTACGGCCCCGGCTGGGCATCAGGGCTGGGGATGGAGCTGGGTTTGTGCCGCTGCTGCAGCCGCCCAGCAGCCAAGGACAGAGGGAGCTGCTCCTCCAAGGGCCGCATCTCTTCCCCGTCGGGAAATGCCACCAGCCCCGGCTCTGGGGTAGCTGGCGGTGTCCGTCTTTGGCCGTAAGAGAAGCAGCTCTCAGGTGGTGTCTTTGGTGGGGTTGGATGTGGGGGTGTCTGTCTGTCAGGCTGAGGTCGTCTCTGCACCCCTTCTGCTCCATGCAGGCAGGCTGCCGGACTCCGAGGGCTCAGCGCAGAACCCTGACAGCATTTTGCAGGGTTTGCGTGGCTGTTAACCCGTCTTGTGTGGCCAGCGCTGCTGCCTCTGCTCGTGGAGGAAATAGTAGATAAAAATAGCGTTGCACACGGATGTGTCCTGCTGCAGCCTGCATG